TTTGGGGCCCTTGACGTCAACTTCGGGGCCCTTGAGGTCACCTTCCATCTTAGGCAGAGAAACATCCACATCTCCCTTTACTTTGGGTCCTTTCAGGTTAAAGTCAATGCCAGGCATGGAGATCTTAGGGGCTTTGATGTTCACCTCTGGCATCTTGAACTTGGGGCCCTTCAGTTTCGCATCTGGACCTTCAATATCCACATCTGGAACATCAATGTCCACCTTGGGTCCTGAGACGTCAATGTCAGCCTTGGGCAGGGTCACATCCACTTCAGGGCCCTCTCCTTTGAAGCCAGGCACACCGATCCTGGGCGCCTTGAGATGCAGGTCAGGCATTTTAAACTTGGGGCCCTTCAGTTTCCCTTCTGGACCATTAATGTCAAAATCAGGAGTGTCTATGTCCAGCTTAGGGCCTTTAACATCTATTTTGGGGCCTTTCAGATCTCCTTCCAGTTTAGGGATGGAAGTGTCCAAATCTCCTTTTATCTTAGGTTCTTTCAAGTTCAAATCAATGTCACTCATGGAGATTTGTGGGGTTTTAAAATGGACATCAGGCATCTTAAGTTTGGGTCCTTTGAGTTTCCCTTCAGGACCTTCAAAGTCCACCTCTGGCCCTTTCAGATCACCTTCTACCTTAGGCAGTGAAAAGTCCACATCCCCCTTTACCTTTGGCCCTTTCAGACTTAAGTCAAAGTCAGGCATGGAGATCTTGGGGGCTTTAATGTTCATCTCTGGCATCTTAAATTTAGGCCCCTTCAGTTTTCCATCTGGACCTTCAATATTGATATCAGGAGTGTCAGTGTCCAGTTTGGGGCTCTTGATGTCCACCTCAGGGGACTTGAGATCACCCTCAACTTTGGGCAGAGAGATATCAACATCACCCTTCATTTGGGGGCCCTTCAGATTAAAGTCAAGGTCAGGCATGGAGATTTTAGGGGCTTTTATGTTCACCTCCGGCATCTTGAATTTAGGGCCCTTCAGTTTTGCATCTGGACCTTCAATATTTACATCTGGAACATCAACGTCCACCTTGGGTCCTGAGACGTCAATGTC